CCCGGGGGAACCAGGACCAGAGGGTTCTGGGTTGGAGTCCAGGGACGTGTCGGGCTGTGGACTAATCCGGGTCGAGCTGACCTCTGGACGCCGTGGTTAAGTGGCAGAAACACACTCAAAGCCCCCCGGGGGGTCATGCTAATCCCCCCAGGTAGGAAGAGTCACTGGAAAAAAAGAGACAGGCTTTGTTGTCGTTTGGTGTCCCTTTTTTGGGGAGTTTAAGTTTAAATTAAATGGTTTTATTCTCCCTAACCACTGTAACAGGATAGTGGGTCGTAATGACTTTACTTTAAGACCGTAAAATTGTACAATTTATATATTTTAACCCTAAAATAACTCAAAGACTGTAACAAAAACCCACAAAAAAGACAAACGTATGGTTCCATCTTTCTGTACTGATCTTTGTCACATTGCTGTTGTCGGTGAGTCACAGACACTAAAGTTAATCACAACATTTGCCTTAGAGATGGAGTTTTATAGGGTTTTTTTTAAATGCAAGTGTTTGTGTTCATTGGTAGAACGTAAAATAAAAGGTAAAATGGATGGTTAAAATGTTAAGTGTTTAATTTGAGAAAATGTTTAATGAGAAAATGCATGAATCTGCACATCTGGCCTTTTAGTTGTGCATGTCGGGCTCATTCTTTCTGTTTTATTTTAGTGAAAAAATAGTATTTAGTATTTACTCTGATAACAACTTAATGGTTAGGACACAGACCTGTGGTTACAGATGCTAATGCTAATGCTAATGGTGGTGGATTCTCCTACTACCACCATTAAGGACCCCAATTAGAATCCAGCTGGAGGTGGAAGCCTTGGAAGATACCATTGTTCCAAACACTGAGGGGGGGTGTTAATTTTGAAGCCAAGTTAATTTGAGCCCTAAGTTATTTTGTCATTTTAATATATTATTTGTGTTAAGTTAAATATGATTCTGCTTCTATTTTGTTAGGTTTTGTGTTTATTGTACTTCTATGATGTTCCTCCCTCATGTGGGAAGTTTAGGGGACCAACCCTAACTTACTCTGACTTTACTACCTGAACTTTCAGACTGTCAAACTCATGTGGAACAGGGATTTACTCTGATAACAACTTAATGGTTAGCACACAGACCTGTGGGTTGCAGATGCTAATGCTAATGCTAATGCGGGATCGGACTAATGGCTGCTCCTCTCTCTGTGTGGACGACACCATGTGAGACACCAGGAGCTGGAACCTGATCCAGGAGGTTCTACCACCAGGGGAAAACGTCTCAAAAATGGTATTGTGTACGTCCGGCTTTACACCTCACAGAGATGTAGCAGCCTCTCTATCTCTGGCCGCCTTTGAGCCACTGGAGTTGTGAGTCTGATTAGTGGAGCAGCTGCTCAGAGAACAAATAGCACCGTCAGATTCTCATGGGGATAATAGCCCTGTCTTCCCTTTTATGGGGCTAAAGCTTCCCGATGATCAACCCTCTGTGTGTATTTTGGGCTCTGAGGATTTGGGGCATGGTGGACGTCTGT